TGAATGATCAAAACATTAAAAAGACATTCAGAAAGTTAAAAAGATGTTTAAAAGATGTCTTTTTTACGCACCTAGATTATTGAACAAAAGCATCTATCAAACACTGATGTTGAAAATAAATTAGATACATCTCTGTTGTAAGATGACAATAATGATAATAACTTTTGCTTGTAAAAAAGCAAGAAAAGAGTATTTTGTGTTGTTAAATGTGTTGTGTAAGTGTTATTTTAATTTAAATGGATTTCATGAAAATATGGATAAATAACAAACAAAAACACTGTCACTAACTTGTATAACTGTACATGCTTTTAATTTAAATTCCTTTTAAAAATATGCATGATAATAGGGGTACCTAATTGCTAATATGCCCCAGGCATCATGAAACCTCATGGCCACCCTGTGTATGTAATAAGTAATCAGATAATACCACAATTTTATAAAAATATACTTATAAGGGGCCATCCATATATTATGTATGCACCAAGGGGGAGGGGGTGGGTTGTGTCCCAAGTTGAGTAATTTGCATATGAGTGTGTATGGGGAAGGTGGAGGCTCCAACAAAATGTATGTATGCAAATGAAAAAAATTGAGGTGACAGTTCACGTTCACATGCCCATTATTAAAAGGTGAACGCCGCTCATGTTCATGGCCTGTTAAGGTTATAAAGGTTGAGTAGTGTAAAAAAAAAGTGATCACATTCGCGTGTGCGAATGGAATTGGGGGTAGGAGAGTTAGACCACCAGTCATATGAAACTTATATGGAGTGTGTGTGGGGGGTAAGACCACCATGGAGGAAGTGGGTGGGTGGGTAAGTCTGCCAAGCATACGTATGCATAGGATTGGGGGTGCGGGTATAAAAATGTGGAAGATACCACAAGGAGGAAGGGGTCCAAATTTGGAGATTTTTGCGTACATTATATATGGATGGGCCTAAACGGCAGCTAATAGATAAGTTTCAAAGAGAAGTACTAATCAAAATACCTAATTTTGAATGACCCTCTGTGTTTAGAAGAATATTTCCAGCCTTAATATCTCTAAACAAAAAAAAAAGTTTAAAATAGGCTTTAAAAACTATAAAAAAAAAAAAAAAAATCATAAATATTGTAAATAAATAACAAACCTATGGATTTTTCTTCTCAGATGTAAATACTCTAATCCTTTTAATGTGTCTCGACAGATGCAAGCAATTTCATCTTCAGTTAACTATGAAACATATATATATATATATATATATATATATATATATATATATATATATATATATATATATATATATATATATATATATATATAAAACATTAGGTTTTAAAATATTTAAAAACTACATGGCACTGGAAAAATTTATGGTTCCCTAATATTATCAAAAACAAAACCTTTTTCATGGCAATTTAGGTCTAATAAGAAGCAAAACTAAATAAAATTATGATATCTTCATGTAAAATTACCAGTAAATTTTGTTCTACAAACAGTCACTATGATTTTTTAATTGAATACAGAACTTCATAAAAATATTTATGAATTTTGTTGTTTAAAAATTTAATTTTAATTTTTAAACAAGATTTGCTTGTTTAAAAATTAAAATTTAGTAACTTCAAAATTTACCAGAAAAGTTACATGACTTATAAATATGTCATATTTTTTTGTAATATTAAATATAATCAAACTTTTGTAAAATTATTAACAAACTGTTTTATTTCGAAGACGCATGCAGTCTGATACAGAACCAGCTCCACAATATTCCATTACAATCTAAACATTAAAAAGTGAGCAAATTGAATTACTTTCTAACTTCTGCTGTTATGCCTCTCTCTTAATCATATAACCACAAAACAAGGCTGCTTGGTGGAAAAAAGAAATTAAGAGAGGTACTAACAGGGACATGTTGGGTTCATACTTCATCACTAACATTGGATTGCTATGATACTGTATCACTTAAGAAGTATCATAGTTGTTATTATAGTACTATCGCATAATAATAAAAACTTAAATTAAAAAATTTAAATTTTACAATCAAATTTATTATCCCTTATTTTTAATTCAATCAAATAATAAAATTACAACTTTCTGTACATAATTATTTTTATTACTTTACAGTATAATCATTTATAAATAAAATTTGATTTTTATTCAATTAAATAATGTAAAAAAAAAAAAAACTATAGAAATAATTATAGGTAGCAAAATAATAGCTTTATTATTTAATCAAATCAAACCAAATAAAAATTGATTTTAATTTAATTAAATAATTTTAATTATTATAAACAAATATTATTTTACTATTTATAATTATTTTTGAGTATTTAATTATTTATAAAAACTTTATTTATTTATAATACTACACTATTTTTTTTAAACATTTTCACATCCAATAAAGCTGCAAGCAATCACTATTTAAGTGGAAAGTTAACAACTTTTAAAGTGGGAACTGGCTGAGAAAAGATAAAATTTATAAACCAAGAATATAATTAACAGACGACTTAAATGATTGCAAATAATATGAACCAGGAAAACAAGAAAGGAGCAAATTCCAAAAAACTGATGTCCAAGGAAAGAACTAGACGAATAAAAAATTTTGGAGTAAAATTCTAAACAGATGTTTTATGTATACTTATTTGATGTTGAAGTTTTATGTATATATCTGATGCCATTATGAAAGTTTTCGGAAGCCATTTTGAACTTTGAAGAAATATTTAGAAGAAAATTTTTAGAAATTCTAAAACCTATTAGAATCTTATGAAGAAGTTTGAACCAAATAGTTATTTGAATCAAGGTACTGCAAAATGATTCTTTTTTTATGTCAGAAATTGCTAATTTTTCAACTCCGAAATGTATGCACTGATAGAAGCATTCCTACCAAACATGGTATCATGGTATCATGGTAACATGGTATCATGGTAAGATGCCAAGCTAAGATGCAAAAGAAAAAGCATGCAAAAGAAGAGAAAGAAAAAGCATGCAAAAGAAAATGTATGCAGAAGAAGAAGCATGCATACTAAGACTCTACATGCATACTAACTTGGCAATAAATGATGGCAAGTTCATAATTTTCATAAGGATATGGTGATTAGTAAGATTATAGCTGAAGTCTAATGTCCAAATTTAGATCAGATTTTTATAATCATATTAATTATAAGGCTGATGTTTTAATAAGATCATAAGATGTTCTAAACCACAAAGGATATAGAGGCAGTAGAACTAAAGTATCAGAGGCAGTAGAACTAAAGACATGCCATTCAGTATGATGAAGCAATAATATTTGCTGAAGGAAAAAAAGAAAAAGGGATCAATTTGGTCAAAAACAATTCTGTAAATCTTGGGAATATTTGATCTTGGAAAGGAGAAACCATGGGTGTGGAGTCGTAAAAAAAAGTATCGACTCTAACTCCAGTTGTTGAAATTTTTTGAATACAACTCCGATTCCAGTTGTTAAAATTTTTTCATTACAACTCCCACTCCTACTCCAACTCCAATTCCAACTACATTTCCAAATCAAAATTCTTTGAAATCTTTAAAAAATATTACGCAATAAGTGAAAAAACATTTTTTGACAAGTTTATGAAATGTTCTTTGAGGTTTAGTATGAACATAAGTTTTTTAGCAACTCCGCAACTCTGACTCCACAGCCCTGGGAGAAACAGAACAAAAAGAATGGTGATTAAGTGAGGAATTAACTAAAAGCACATAAAAAGAATGGTGGGGACTAAAAGCACATAAAAAGTAGTTAGAGAATTCAGACTTTCTTGACATACATATGATAAGCAAATATAATCCCAGGTTAAGCATGCAACCCGTGGAATTAGGAAAAACGAGGTCTTATAAACAATAATTTGCGGATCTCAATCTTTTAGAGGTCGGCTTTAGGTTGGTAAAAAAAATTGATACAAAAGTCTTACCATAAAACATAGAAACAAGGTCAACAGTGTTTTGCCAACCTCAAACACCTTTAGGTTGGCATTGCTTAATGCCAAACCTAATTCCGAGGGCTGAACATGTGACTTTTTTTTTGAATTAAAGGGATACTGCCATCAAGAATAAGATCTAAAGATAAATTTGAAATTCTCAAAAAAGTCTCATGAACAAGTAGGTCTCGTAAATTTTGCTAAAGATAAATTTTAACAGATGAAATGTTACTTTGAAGATTATGAATATTTGATGTGGCTTCTACAATGCACACTGAAAGTAATAACAAAGACTCTTTCCTTACATTAAAGTCTAGGGGTATTATAAGTTAGATTTATTTTCTCCTAGCCTAAAAAGGTGAATCTTTAGGCAACAGGACATGAGGCAGGTTGTACTGGAATATATGTTATCAGTAACAGGGTGATTATAATGTTCCTAACACTAACCTGACCTGAACGGATAGAAGCAATTTCATGATAAAAGGATGATCAAGTGTTATATAGAAACTGTTCCAGTTTTTGTCAAATTTTTCATTGCTATCTTTTTTTAGTTGAGTATACTGAGGTAGAAGTTTTTACTTTCAATTTTAAAATTCAAAAATCACCGATGTCATTCACAATTGAACAAGACTCAATTATAACTATTTCAATCATTAATCATTAATAGTAATAAAAACACCTTACCCATAAATCTGTGTTTTTGAAATAACTTCCAAAATACTTCACAACATATGGGCTAAAAAAAAACTAAATTTTAATATAAAACAGCAAATATGAAATAGATAGTAAATAATAAACATGAAATGTATAGTAAAGAAAAAATTCAAGTGGTCGCATGTATCAAATGTATCAAATTTTATTTTTCAACCATTTGCAAAGCATTTTTTGGCAAATTTAATGTTGGCGGAAAAGGCATCAAAATAATGAAACACAACCAGAAAAAAATCAACTAAGTATCAAACTATTGTTTTTATTTTAGCTGCCAAATATCAATAAAACTACTACAGGGTTACTAGACCTTTTCAACCTTAAGTTCTTCTCTGGTCTCTCCTCTGGTAAGAGAGACCAGAGAAAGTAACCTCCTCTTTGAGCAAAAGAATAGTACAATGAATAATATTAAGTAAACACTGATGTTGTAAATAATGCAAACACTGATGCTGTAAATGATGTTAGCACTGATGTTGTAAATAATGCAAACTTAAATGCCATAGCTTAAAATATACTTATGATGTTTACTTGATGAAATATTACAACTAAAAATAAGTTTTATAAATTTAGAAATTAAATTATCTCATTTTAGGTATAAAATAAAGTATACAGTGAGATAAGATAACAATGAAACAACCGCAACAAGAAAAACCGCAACAAGAAAAACCGCAAAAAGTTACACAGCATAAAAGCATAGCTTAAATCAACACGAGCGAAAAAATAAAATAAAGGAATGAAAAATGTAATTTTATCAACCCCAGTAAAAATCTAATCCCAGTCAGTTACAAAATCATTGACATCAATATTGTTTATTTTAAAAGCGGTTTTAAATTAGGTAGGTAGATATATCTAATTGAGAGTTTTTGTTTTATCAATTACTAATATGTAACACCACTTAACATATTAATCACTGGTTCTTAAAGTTCAAACATGTTAAAACATTTTATTATCAAATTAAGATTGCAATAATTTAAAATTTTATTTCATCTGATTAAAATAAAATAAATGATAAAAACATTTTTGATTAAAATCTGATTAAAATGAAATATATGATAAAATATGACACAGTTTCCTTATACTTCTAAATGAAATTAAAAACCGTAGTTTTTGAATTGATTTTTTGTATTATTTGTTTTAGTAGTTATTTTTGTATTTTTGTACTTTAGGATTATATAATTAGTATATAAGTTCAACAACTTCCTGAAAAAAAAGTTATTTAACAAATTAATTGAAATGGAAAAATATGTACCTGTCACACTGCTGCATGATGCTTATTTCTTTTATGATTTCTTGAAGGTCTGTATCAACAGGAACTTGCTTTATAGCCAGAACCTCTCCACTTTCTTTATGCATAGCTTTGTACACAGATCCATAAGCTCTAAATAAAGTTTTCATGCACTTGTTTATAATTATGTGTAAAGTTACAAAATCAAGATTTCTCAAAACGTTTTCTTTATACTATATCCACTTCCCAAAAGCTTAAGGCACCATTTATTTTTTATTTACTTATTTACTAACTGTTATCTCTCTACCATTTTGTCAAACCAAAATACAAGGTTTAACTCCAAAATACAAAGCTTGACAAACTTGGAGCTGTATAAAAATACAAGTTAAGCACAGGTTGTGATACGATGTTTTTTTTTAAATATATTTTCACTTTTTAGTACTGTATTTTTGAAAGTTTTAACTATATATAGCACTAGTGAAAAAACAATGAAACAAAATCAGGCCTAGTTAAGGAATGTAACACATTCTTGCATTTTACGTGTGAAAAGGCAATTTGCCCACGCGTTCAGCAGTTTTATGTTACACGAAAACTTATATCTTTTGGATAATTATCTTTTGATGTGACGTTTTATTCAGGGGATAAGTAAGTAAGTAAAAGCATTTAACCGCAATTATGAACTAATTGATGTAGAAACTAATATATGTGAATTAATTGTGAATGCAATAGTGAACTATTTGATTTTTAATAAAAAAAAAGTTAGTTTAATCATTTTTTTTTATTAAAAATAAATCCAAGAAAATAAAGTGTTTCAAGTTTAAACTTTTCAATTTAATAAAAAAAATACATAAAAAAGTATTTATGATTAACTGTTTATTAGAGTGATCTTTAATTGGAAATTGCCTGATCTTTAATTGGAAAGACCCAGGGGTGAATTCACAGGTAGTGTGGGAAAGGGGTTGTTGCCCTCCCCCATCCTCCTTAAGAAGAAGGAAGAGTCAACATTAGACTTTGAAAATTGAGAAATAAATGACTTTTTAGTGTCGATAATGTTTTTTTTACTTTTTCCAAGTTTTTCCATTATCTATAATTTTTAAGATTGGTCATTGAAAGAACCTCGATTAGAAATTATGAACAAGTTTATGAGTAGACAAATATTTTAACGAAGTCAAGTTCTTTAAAAAAAAAATTGTTAATAGTTTTTTGCTTTGCTTAAGCATTGTTTAAAACTGTAAAGTAGTATGAAATTGTAGTTATAAATAAATGAAACTTATAACAATTATTAGAAAGAAACAAAATAAAAACAGATCTTTTTATTACTTTTAATTTCAACCCAATATAGCGTAATATAACTGAAAATTTATATCAGGTCAGATTGCAAATAATGGACCAGATTTGGTTACTCGAGTAGTCTAAATTACCTCTCCAATGTATAAAAATTTATCTCCAATGTATAAAAATTTATCTCCAATGTATAAAAATTTATCTCCAATGTATAAAAATTTATACAAAAATACAATACTTATAACAAATACTTAAGAAAAAAACTATACTATCAGTGAAGAACCCAGACGTGTTTTAGTACCGTTTTACCAGTATGGGCGCCCAAAAAAAAGCACCCAAAAATTATTTTTATTTTTAATTTTTCTGTTAATTTTTTATGAGAAAAAGTAAAAAAAAATAGTTTTAAATGCAGAAGTATATAAATAATTCTCAGTTTAATTTAGCTACCTCATTTTTTCTTCATGAAAATAAAAAGAATTAAAAAGAAATTGCTTTTTTACATAACTACGTGACGTAATTTGCCTTCGGTTATTAACTAGACATAACTTTAAAAAAAAAGAAAGTCAGTACGAAACTTAATTTTAAAACCGTTGTAAACGTTGCAAAATTTTATATCAATGGAATGTATAAAAGATTTGCTTCTTTGAAAGTTAAAGCGTTTTTAAATATCCATTCAGCGTAAGGTTAAATTTTGTTTTTGGCAATTAAGAGTAAACTGCTTTTAATAGTAAATAAACGCAAGTAAAAAATAACTTGTAACTATTGCGCAAACTTGTAAATATCCTTGCAACTATCGCGCAAGTTTAACTTTTAAATGAATGAACTATTGATCTTTAGCTTGCTATTTTAGTTTACGTGAGGAAAAGGTTTAACTTAATTTCTCCACGCAGCGGCCTTGTTTGTCAAGGTTCATGTATCGGAGTTGAAGAGTTGAGAGAGGGTTGACCACGATTTACAAAAAAATAAAAAATAAAAAATAAAAAAATATTGCCTTCTCGACAGTAGTGGCCCCCTCTGGCCTTGGGGAGGTGAATGATTTAAAACTCTTTTAAAAATCTTTTTCAAACAATAAAAAAAGGCTTCAATAACTTAATAAGTTTTATTTAGATCTATTTAAAATAACCCATAGTAAATGTAATTTATTTATTCAAATGTAATTTTTTAAATTCTTCTTAATAATTATAAATATATATATTTTTTAAATATATGTTTTTAAAAATATAATTTGATTTTTAATCAAAATAATAGAATAGTTTTAAAATTATATTTACTGTAATTATCTCTTTAATTATCTTTAATTTAAAAGGGGCCTTAAAATCACTTAAAAAATTATAACCTTTGGTAAAAGTTAAATGAACAGATTTACTAATATTTAAATCAAAATTTCAAATTTTAAAAAGTAGAAAATAAGTTTATTAAATGTTTATTTTTTTATTCAAATAGTTAATTAAATACGTTTATTAAGTGCTTATCGAATTTGTTTATTAAATGCTTATGTTTTTAATTCAAATACGAGACATTAAACTATTTTGTTAATTTTACAAATATTATGCGATATAATATATGTAAATATATATATGTAGTGTAAATATAGATTAAAATTTTTTTTTAAATATTTTTAATTATTATTTTAAATTAAGTTTACTAAAATATAGTTAATAACTGTTTAAAATACTTTAAACAATTTTCAATAATTATTTACTGATAGCGTGGTATATGCAACAAAAACGTTTATTAAAATCTTAAGTTAAATAGTTTTCTTTTAGCTCAAGTAACATCGCCCACCAATAAATTCATGTATTCAAAAAATGCCTATAAATCAACACCTTATTTTAAGACAAAACTGAACAAGATAAACATAAATGATTATTAAGAAAATGATGATTAAAAGTTATTGTTGCAATACCCGTTTAACTAGAGGAGAATGAGGGGGAGGGGGAAATCAAAAACATAATTTCCCCCTCCCCCCTCAACGTTGCTGAAAAAAAATGATATCCCCAAATAAATTCTAGGTTCTTTACTGACTATTTAGCATAATTAATTTTTTCTTGTTTCTAAAATATTTTCTCCGTAACCATTATGATTTTATGGATCTTTTTTTAATAATAGGAACTGCTACATTGCTCACAACTAAAATGTTACTTAGTTAATAACTATTGGAGAAAAAATTTTGACTCATTTGGAAAAAAATTTATCACAGTTGCTGACGTGAATTATCAAATAACAGACGTAAAGTTACTATCTAACCGTCAAGTTCTTGCAGTTTTTTTTTTTTAACATTCATGTGTGTTAAAAAAAGTGTTAAAATCAAGAGTGTACTGTATTTTTGGAAAAAGATAGAATCCCTTCCAGAACTATACCTAACTGTGTAAAAAAACTTGTAGATCTTCACCATGTTTGGAGAGAGTTGCAAAAAAAAATCCAAAAAACAACAACAAGATATTTATAAGCACTATGAGGAGAACTTTCGAAACAATTTATATAATTTATTTGTTATAGCACATGCTGATGCTTTGGAAGGGATAAAAGTACATAAACAAAGAGAACCAAGCCAAGAACATCACGATCACACACCAGCGCTGATGAAGGCCTTGAGGAACCATTACCGTCAACCTCTCAAATAGTAAGTTCTGAACCTATAAGAAAAAGAAAAAGGAAAAACTTTATCACATTTTAGGCAAAAAGAATTATAATATAGGGCCATTAAAAGAGGCTATTGTATTTTTGAAACAAAAACTAGACAGGGAATTACTATTTTTTGCTTTGCCGCTATCACGTGTACGAACTGGTTTTAAATTGTGTGTTTGAAACAAATCCACTAAGTCACAAGTAGCCCTGATATCCCAATGTTCAAAAAGTTTAGAGACAACTGGAAAACTATTAACCTGGCTGCTATTGAAACACACACTGATATTGTCAATCAACATTTAGTAATACAACATTTAAAGAATCGTTGACATTTTATAATCAAAGAACTGTAAAAAACTATTGTACCTGATGATTATTGGGAATTTCTTAGAAGTTAACAATTAGTAAAGAAGAAAAAAATCAGACCTCTTGCAATGAATTAAGCAATGAATTAAACGAGGGGGATGGCTAGAGCCTATTTACTCTTTAAGGATATGTTTCTTACAATCCCAGATCGAAATTAGCGCCAGGAATAAACGAGCACTTTGATTTTGTGTTTGTCAAGAGCATAAATTAATTTTCTTGATTAAAAATTAATGAGAACTTCCTCCAGAGACCCGTTTCAACGTGGGATGAAGATGTTGTCTATATAGAGGCAAAAAGAATTTTTTTTTTCCTTAAGTGCAGTTAATGAATCAGCTCAAAGAGCAAAAAAACTTTTAAAGATTTTCATTGTTTGATCACTGCAAATGAAGAACAAAAGAAATTTTTGTTGTAATTTTACATTCTTTTAATAAATACTTTATAAAATATAACTGTATCTATAATATATAATAATAATTTCAGGGCCGGTCCTTGGGTTTCTGGCGCCGTGGGCAAATGACTAAATTTGGCGCCCTCTACCCTCCAAAAAAACTAAATTTTTAGAAAATTGATTTTTTAAAAAAGAGGAAAATACTACGGAAATTTTTACTAAATAAGCATAAATGATAAGTTCATTAATCGGAATTCCAAATAATATAATACCGTATATAATTGGAACCAAAGACAACTAAGCATTCATTAAGACAACTAAGCATAAGTAAAATAATATGAATACATATTCTGATAATTTAATACTCATATCATATTTTTGGCGCCCTTTTGAGATTTTGGAGCACTAGGCAAATGTCTAGTTTGCCTATGCCACGAGCCAGCCCTGAATAATTTCAATTGATTTAGCTACATAACGAGAAGGGTTAAAAACAGCAATTTTGAAATCTTTAGAGATCTATTGGCATGCATTATTTTGCCATAGGAAGATAAAACTTTGTATTTAAGTAAGTCTATTATATTGGCTACTTCAAATTTTTTTTTTTTAGAAACTTGTCACGAAAAAAAAATTATCAAAGTTATGTTGCAATTATATATATTTTTAACTTATTAAAGTACAACTTTTTTAAAAGTGTAAACTAACGCATAACGTAACATTAAAAATATCTACATTTGAGACATATTTTAATTGTGTCTCATATCTAGATTTTGTCAAGTTATTTGGTCATTAAAAGAAAACATCCTGCTTTATCTGTAATTTTATATCCTTTTAATAAATATCTTATAAAATATAAATGTTTTAATTGATTTAGCTACATAACGGGATAACAAAAAGGGTTAAAAACAGCAATTTTAAAAATCTTAAGAGATCTGTTGGCATGCATTAATGTTTTAAGTAACTCTAGATAGTTTAAAAAGAAATAGGGGGTATGCGTTTTGAAAACTAAAAAATAATTCGCTAATATAAGGGACACCCTAATATATATGCATATTTAAATATATATACATATATATACATATACATATATATATATATATATATATATATATATATATATATATATATATATATATATATATATATATATATATATATATATATATATATATATATATATATACATATATATATATATATATATATATATATATATATATATATATATATATATATATATATATATATATATATATATATATATCACTTATTAAACTTTTATCATTTTATGTTTTGTTTCATCAATAAAATTTCATCAAAAAAATTTTCTGCTGAGACTTTTATTGATGAAACACAGTGTAAAATGAAAAAGTTTGATAAGGGATTGTTCATAAAGTACCTATGTTCAGATTGGGGAGAGAGTCTCTGCGAATGATATATATAAAATGGGGTATGGGGAAGGATGGGGGGGGGGGACATATATATATATATATATATATATATATATATATATATATATATATATATATATATATATATATATATATATATATATATATATATATGTATATATATATATATATATATATATATATATATATATATATATATATATATATATATATATATATATATATATATATATATTATAAAAATCAATTACTTAATTTCTCAATCAGTTAGATAAAAAAAAATTGTCACTTTTACCCTTCACCAAGTTTTGCCAAAAGATCAAACACTTCTTCTGCTGGCCGATTCAAGCTTTCTTCGCTCAATTTCTTTAAACTAAAAATTTTATTTATTAAATTAAAACCAAACGAATGCAGGTAAATATTTTAAAAACATCAGTAACGATTTGGTTATAAACCTTGATTAAAATGAGACCAAATTAAACCAATTTGTGATGTAACTTAAAAGAATTGCACGGCTAAATATTACTTTTCTTAAACAATAATACATTTTATGAAATACATCTATATAATTAAGATGTTTTTTTATGAAATATTTATATATATAAATGTGTTTAAGTTTTTAAAATTATTTTCTTTTGAGTTTTGATTTCAACAAATCTGTTTTTTTTTTTTTAAATAAATGTCTCAATATTTATTGGCCAACCCCTGCAGTCTTCAGTGTTTATAATTTACCCTAAATTAATTATGCTGGCATGCACTATTTAAAACAATATTTTATTTGCTTTTTCAAATAAATTAAAAAAAGGGAAACAAACACTTTATTTAAATTCTAAATAAAATAATTAAAGCAAAAATATAAATAAGTTTTAATTAAATTCAAAACAGAAAAACTAAAACCAAGTTGAGCTGGAAGTTACTGGAAGAGAAAAGATGAAGTTTATAGAGCAAGAAAGGATTAGCGAATGCCTAAAAAGATTACAAATTATATAAATCAAGAAAACAAGAAAAGGGGAGTATATTCCAAAGAACTGATGTTATAGGAAAAAAACTAGACAAATAAGAATTTTTGGAGTTTTTGGAACAGTCACAGTCAAGGATAAAACTTAATTGAATAATGAGTAACACAAGAATGAATTTTAGTAGATGGCACAAGAGAAGCTAGCTCCTTCTCTTTCTCTTTTCTATAAATAATATAATGGCCCATTATATTATTTATAGAAAAGAGAAAGAGAAGTAACATAATTTGATGTTTACTAAGATGGTCACCTTTGATAAAGAAAAAGTTCTGGTTGAAGTAGAAGACTTATCAAAAAGATTAGAGATTACCTGCAAGAAATGCTTGGAAATACATAAACTATCATTATTGATGGCATGGCCTTGGTCAATGAAGTTCATAAAGATAGTATTAAAACTTAAGAGGTAACATTTATGTGAATTATTGTCTACGGTAATATTTTATTTCAATCACATCACATGCGTTGTTCACTGTAATAAATGTGTATGTAGGATTGATAAGTTAACTGACATATGTATGAGTTATATTAATATACATATTTGTTTTATTATTCAGAACATTGCTGCTAAATTTATTTGCATGCTTTAAAATCTCAAACAAGATAAGATTAATTTTTGACAGATATATGGAACAGTCATTAAAGTCTAAACAAGAAAAATATGCACCTCTGGCAATGAAATTAAATACAAGGTAACTGATGACTCTATAATTTGTAATAAGTCACTAAAGCAGTTATTGAGGCCATTGAAACCAAGAAAGCTCTTACCGAATACCTTGCTAAATATATGAAAAATAGTATAAGTAGTGTCGTTCGCTTTATTCTAACATATTCAAGCACAACAGAAGCAATTGTGGAACATCTGTCTGCAGAAATATTGAATCATGATCATGAAGAGCATACCTTAGACGTTGCAAAAGAATTTTAAAAATCCCATTTTAAAAATGTATAGATAAAATTTATTGAAGCTGACGATGGAACACTAGTTAAATCAAATCTTGGTCAATCAGAAACTTTACCTGATCTATTTACAATAAATAACATAGAACATTTTGTTGTTAGAGTCTGAAGTGATAAAAAACTGACAGAAAATATTAATACTCTTTTACAACTTTGCAGGTTCCTTTTCTCTTAATTCCAACATGACACTGCACAACTTTTACCAACAATGAATGTCCTTACGAATCATATATTTTGTAGTCACTTTGTATGTTAAGTGCTTAAACGCTCTAACATGTCTGTACAGTATCTCCCATTACCTGTGGAGTCATGTTGGGAATTAAACAATGGATCTCATGACCCCATAATGACTGATAACCTGCCAGCACCAATAGGACTTATTGAGTTGAGCATTTGTAGTTGTAAAGGAGACTGTATTAATAAAAGGTGCAAATGTTTGAAAAATGAACTTATTTGTACTGATATGTGCAAGTGTAACAAATGTACAAATAATAATGTTGAGTACCAAAAGTAAGACATTTATGAAAATGGCAATAAAGAGTTAGAAGACGCAATTTAATTATAGAGTATATTATTAAATACTAGCTTGTAATCACATTACTTTTAACTTTTATTTGCAAAATTTAGAAACTTTTTAAATCTAAGAATGAAATCTTATGATATTTGAAGCTTTTCATTAAATAAATATCATAAATTCCATTTATATTACAAGAACAATCAATTTAGTTAAATATCTTCCGGGGTCCTTTCTTCTCTTGATTAAACATTGTAAATGCGGTAGTGATGTAGTGGTAGAGCGCTCGCTTCATAAACGAGTGGTTCGGAGTTCGATCCTCACCACGTCCCTGGTAGTACCGCGCTCAACTCGTTTCTCCGCGCAGCGGCCTTGTTCATCAAGGTTCGTGTTTTGGAGTTATAGAGTTGAGAGAGGGTTATAGCCACAAATAAGTAGCCTCCTCGTCTGTAGTGGCCTTTTGCTTGTAACACGCATGTGCACACAAAGGGTTATTTTGAAACATAATGGCTTGCACTATGAGTTTATTTTAATCAAATGTATTTTTTTAATATGCTTGTGTTATAGAATATATATGAAAGAAACAAAAGGCTCTTAAAGTAATTCTAAAGTGCTGAGACAAATTGTGTTCATATTAAAAAGAATGATACAAAAAATGTTTGAGCTGAATTTTTTTAAGTAAAACAAAATAATAAATGTATAAAAATGTAGAAAAACTAACTTTGTTGTTTTAGCTCGCCATCTCCATGTAAGCCAGTTCTTTTAAGTCTTTAAAATATATGCTGCAATCTACAGACTTTATAATTTATTTAAGCGAGCTTAATTCTTAATAGTTTTAGTATATGAAGCCATTGTAAAAAAAGAAATCTAAAAATTTTTTTTTTCATTAAATTATAGAATTTTTTTTTCATTATAGATTACTAAAGAAATTGTTTAGTTACTTATTTTTATATGAAATTTTTTTTTCATCATAAACTCTTAAGAATTTTTTGAGTTTTAGATATCTTTTTTTTAGTTTTTTTTATGAAGTTCGCATTAAAAATATGAATAAAATATTTCAGATATTTTAAACTTGTCTATTGTTATAAACTATTTTTGTGTTATATTTATTGTTATTAAATGATTATTATTCTTAATGAGGTTCTGTTAAAAAAATTATTTTGTATTAATAAACTCTTTCACTACCGCAAGTCGCTGACAGCGACTTTTAATTTTTTTAAATTTTGACCACAAGCCGCTGGTAGTAGCTTTTGAGCATGGTTTACAACTTATCTTGCTTCGTACATAAACTTTTACTCTAGACACATAATATGTTTGTTCTTAAGATTTTAACAATTCTCTACAAAATAATAACAAATAAGAGACTGGAGAAAATTCTGACCCCTCAAATTATCGTCCGATCAGTCATCTTTCTGTTATTAGCAAGGTCTTTGAGTCTTTGATCAACAAATTCCTCACATCTCATCTTGAGTCAAATAAAACTGCTGTCAGACAATCAATACGGTTTTCGATCCTCTCGCTCTACGGCCGATTTGCTAACTGCTGTAACTGAAAGATTTTATGGTGCATTAGATGGAGGCGGTGAGGCTAGGGCTATTGCTCTTGACATATCTAAAGCTTTCGACAAAGTTTGGCATGCTGGTCTTCTCCATAAGCTTGCTTCATATGGTGTTTCTGGGAAAGTTTTTGAGATTATCAAATCATTTCTTTCTAACCGGTTTATTAAAGTCATCCTTGAAGGCCAACACTCTTCTTTATTTCCAGTAACTTCTGGGGTTCCCCAAGGTTCCATCCTGGGCCCTGTTTTGTTTCTTATCTACATAAACGATCTTCCTGACAACCTTTCATCTAAAGTAGCTCTTTTTGCTGATGACTCAACTTTATACTCCTGTCTTGACAAAAAGTCTTCTCTTTTCGATCGCCTAGAACAAGCAGCTAATCTTGAATCTGATCTCACTTCAGTAATAGATTGGGGTTCACAGTGGCTTGTGAATTTCAACTCTAAAAAAACCCAATTGCTTACTGCAAACAACTACCGTAATATGGTCAACATTCCTATATTAATGAATGGCAATCCTCTTACTGAGTCCTCCTCTTTACGTCTTCTTGGATTATCGCTTACTACTGACCTTTCATGGAAACCATATATACAATCGATTGCTAAATTAGCTTCTGCTAAGGTTGCTTCTCTTTATTGTGCTCGCCATTTCCTTACTTCTGATTCCATTCTCTACCTCTACAAATCTCTTATTCATCCCTGTATGGAATACTGTTGTCATATTTGGGCTGGTTCTTCTAACGATTCACTTTCTCTTCTTGACAAGGTCCAAAAACGCATTGTAAATGTTGTTGGACCTGGACTATCTGCTAAGCTTGAACCTCTTTCTCATCGTCGTAAAGTTGCATCTCTTTCTCTTTTCTACAGATACTATCATGGTCACTGCTCAAAGGAGTTATCATCTCTAGTGCCATCAACTAAAATTCATTCTCGTTTTACTCGTCATTCAGCTAAGTCTCATTCGTTTACTGTATCTGTCCCTGCATGCTCTAAAAACTTTTATTCATCTAGTTTTTTTCCCCGCACTTCAATCCTTTGGAACTCTCTCCCATCTTCATGTTTTCCTGACTCATACAACCTTCAACTTTTCAAGTCTTTTGTCAACCGTTTCCTTGCTCTATAACTCTGTTCTTTTTTTTTCCTAGTAACTCCCAACTTAATAGTGGTTGCTTGCAGCCTTGTTGGGAGTGAATGCAAATCATTCACTCCCAACAAGGCTGCAAAAAGGTTAAATAAAAGGTTAACTCATTCGCTACCAGAAAACTTCTGGTAGCGAATGAGTTAACCTTTTAAAAGTTTACTTAACAGCATTTATTTGCTGAACTTTTCATTGGGTACAAATATTCTTGACATTTTTATTTAATTATGCGAGAATATATTTAATGAAATTTGTTCTGTAAAAAATGTATTGCTTATTTTATTTTTAAATTAAAAATAGTGTAGCTGCGACACATTAACAATATTAATCACCACCCATCTTGAATTAGTGCTTTAAAACATTAATTATTGCTTGAGTTAACAAAAAAGCTGTCTGTAAATTTGTTAAGTGTAAATTCTATAAATATTTATTAACTAAAAATTAAACACTTCGGCAAATATCTCTAATAAATGATGTTGTTTACCAAAAATAATTTATCAATCAAAAATTTAAGAATTTGTCATTTCGATAGGAGACAAAATTGTTGTAGCAATAAATGGCTTAGATAAACTAGAAAAAAAGTTCACATTGTTGATATATATAAAAAAAAAAAGATTCAGAATAAATAACAAGGTGATCAACATCATTTTTATATATTTATTATATTTAAGAGCGTATCATAAAAATAATGATTTTATTAGGTTTTCGCGCTCAATAAAAAAAAAAAATTTGTTTAGCTTATTACAAAATTTAAATCAAAGTCATATGACTAATAATAAAGGTTTATTTTAAAAAAGGAATAAAACAAATACAAATAATACTAATTCAAATAAAAAAAACTTTGTTTAAAAAAAAAAAAATCTATGATGACATCATATAAAACTTTTTTGAAAAAACACGCTTGCATAAATTATAAAAAAATAATAATCCCTGTGATTATTTCTAGAAGACATGATATGGTGATTGTTGCTTTAAGTTTATTAAGCTTATTCAAAAGAGTAGCATTTGTATAAAAGCATATAACATACTTATATACTTGACTAAAGTTGATTGGGATTTGAAGTTGCTAGTTCAAATATTTTTTAGTAATTTTGATTTTTTTAGTAATTTTGATTTAGTAATTTTGATTACTTGACAAAGTTATTTAATTAGTAAATTCAATCTTAATACTTTATAAGATTTAAATATTGAATTTTATTGATAGAGCAGATACAGGTTGCATTAGTTTAATTGAATGTAATAACATAAAGTTTATGTTCTAAAAATAATTTTTTATTACAGTAATAAAATGCATTTTGAGATTGATAATCAAATAAACATTGCACAGAAACAATAGATTTTCTTAAAAATACAAGGGGTTGTGGGATTTATATTCAGAAAAACAAAAAATTTGATGTCACCGAAACAGTATGCTATTGTTGTAATGGTTGATATAGTTTATTTAATTTGTTATTCAGTTTTATGTCATTTATCAAGATGTGTACTAACTTCAAGTTTTAGTACATTTCTATCGTTGATACTATAATAAAAACTTTTCTTTTATTATTATTTTATTTATAATTTTATGCTTTTTTTATTTATTGTGTAATAAAAATTTTATTACACAACAAATTATTAGACACAATAGCATAATTAACAACATTCTAATTCAATGTATTGCAAGGACAATATTAAAAAATAACCTAGATTTACAATTAAAAGTGTTAAAGGTTTTTATAAAGGTATTTACTTAAAGGTTAATCAGTTATATTTTAAAACTTGATAAAAAATTGCATTATAAAGAATAAAACAAGGTTATTAAAACTTTCAAAAACTAATTTATTAATGTTAATTATTTGCTTCACAGAATACAGTTACTTTGTTACTAAATATTATAGTTACAAGATGTTTTTATACTACATATTTTAGAGCATACTCAAGTTTTTTAATTTGACATTGTTATGGTAGTAATAAATTGTACTGCAACTTTTTGTTTATTGGATATTTTTCATTATATTTAAATTTTTTGTATACCTTTTTTGATACTTTTAGAAAAGTAATTCAAATGTGTTGTTTTCATTTTATTTTATTAAACAAATCAATACTATGTGTGAACCAAATACATTTGACTAAAATATGATTGGTTTACACATGGTATTTATATGGCAATTGATATTTGATACACCATTTATAGACTCAATTTCAAGGATACTTCTCTTTGCTTTATTTTAGTGAATTTAAAAGATTTGAAGATACCCCTCATTTTTTTCTAAAAAGAGAGGTGTTACACAGTACTGATAGTGGCACTATAAGTACTGTGGAACACCTCTCTTTTTAGAAACAAATGAGGGGTATTTTCAAATCTTTTAAATTCAGCACTATTAGTAATAGTGTAATAAATCTTTTAAATACAGCACTATTAGTAATAGTGCTGTAAAATAATTACGTTGAGAACCAATATTACAGTTTATTTATTAGCATAACTATTACACTCATAAAACACTAACTTTATAGTAATTACATATTTTATAGTAATTTTATCTAGTTCTAATATAATTTTAATATAACAAAAGTCTATTATAAACAAAAAGCCTAATGTTTAAGAATGCATTGAAACAAATATTGAGTTTTCCTAAAATAATTTATTACGAGCATAGTATGTCTAATAACCTATACCTAGTCACCTCTTTACTAGACAAAAATGAAGTTTCGCTACAAATTTATATTTCTTATATAGAATTAGTCACAATTAACAAATTACAAAAAAATGACAAACCTGCGAGACATTTTTAGAAGAACCTTTTCCAAAGAACAACATTAAAATCTCGTAAATATTAAATTTCATAATAACAAGAACTAACCCGTGTAATTTGGAATGTTTTTATAATCATGACGTAAAAAGTCGATGCTCCTTTACGGTACGAGACATACGCCACTTTAAAGATGCTAATTTGCCGAGAGTTAACCACTGATCTGATTTCATTGATTCTAAAATTCAAATAATTATTGTATGATAATAAGCATTAAACAGACTATTAATTTAAGCTGTAAGATAAAAATAGTTTAATAAAGTAGAAAGTTTTACTATTTTTATACAAGAACTTTCGTTTATAAGCATTTTAATAAGATAAAACAGAAGACTTTATCAAATAAAGAAAAAATTTAAAAAGAATTCACAAACACTCTTCATAAATTTTGCACCTTATTGCTTCTTGAATAACCTATATAAAGTTCTATGTTGGAGATTATCATGCGGCTCTTTGTTTTGAATTTTTTTATTTTATTTTGAAAAACAAAACACTTATTATTTATTTATTTATTTTAAATATAAATTCTTTATAGTACTTACAGACTTGTTGTTGAATAGATTCAAATATTACTAAAAAACTTAAATTATTCATAATTGTATAATTAAATATATTTACGAATGTTTTTCCGTAATTGTTTAACGCAGTTTGTATATATCAGAGCTTATGTTTAACGTAGCCCAAATAAGTTCAAGTTCATTTTTTTTGAATGACATTGCTTCAATTATCACAAGCAACAAGAATTTCTGGTTTCCAGCATTCATTTATTCACTTGACTCTTTTCACAACTTGCTTATTTACATAACTTTTGAGTTCATATTAAATTATGAGTATGTATTTTGAGAAAGCTATTTGAATAGAAAACCAGATTATATAAGAAAGTTGTAAAGCTATATATTCAAGTCTTTTTTAAAAAATTACATTTTATCACAAAAGATTATCAAAATTTTATCTTTACATTCTAAAAATAAAATCAAAGTTATAAATGTGAGAAAAAAAAGTGAAATTAAATTTAAAGTTCCTTTATTATTTATTAAATTTTTCAGTCAATTTTCTATTTTTTTTTAAATAATCATTTTTTATTTAGTTTAAACTGTTATTTAGCTTGAGAATAGTTTAAAAAACGAAATAGTATAACACCTAAATTCGGTAATAGAGGTTTCTTGTAAACCTCTTCTGCGGAAACTTCTTTTTTACTCTATTCAAAATTGCGTATCTTTTTTATGGAAACAATTTTTAAACAATGTTGCTAGAATTTTACTTAACAGTTTAAAACTAAATCTATTTGATATCTATGACTAACGAATTTAGATGCTTTATATATTTAATTTTTTTTTTTTTTAAAGCATAAACAAACAAAAACCAAAATCTTTATCACAAATCATTTTTTCATAAACTAATTACATTAAATATTTATAAGATTATATCTTTATTTAATCAGTAACATTGTAAAATTTTACTAAACTTTGTAAATTATAACTAAGAATTTATTAAAAAAATTATTATTACGATTTTTAATACGCCAAAAAAACGATGATAAGATTTCAATATCTTTTTCATGCTTCAATCATAACTTTTATTTTTTATATTTATATTAATTGTATTTATTATTAAAAATATATATACAGAAAAACATATCTAAATTCTCATCACATGAGGTATGGGATATGAGACAAAGTTTAAAATTATTTTATTCTTAACCTCATATTATCTTTTTTTTAACATAGCATCCTGAGTCGACACCAATACGTGATGTTTAAACATTTCAAACTTTCTCATCATCAAGTTTGTTTCAATAAATTAAAAAAAAAAAATTATCGAAACAAAAGTTGAGAGGAATGGTATTGTCAAGCCGGATTGGAGGATCAACATTCGAGGACATTTTTTGGCAACGAAACGCGTTCTGGGACCTTTTTAATTTTAAAAAAACTTAAGATAAGGCACCAAAATAAGTAACTATAACAATATTTGTTTAAAAAACAATGATTTTAATTCTTGAGTTTTTAGTATAATTCTTTATTTGAAACACTACTTTGTACTATTTATTTAGGTTTATAATTAAATATTTCATTTTCTTTAGCTCTGTTAAAAAACTATTATAAGAGACAAATTTTTAGTGCTTATCATATTCAGCGTTACTGCCTAGCTATTTATGTATTTATTATCTTGACAAACCTAAAGCATGGTAGGTATACTGAATTGATTAATTTTATTATTTTATTTATTCCCTAAATGTCATGGGGTTCAGCGATTTTTTAACGGACTCTTTTTTGTACTTTAATTTTATAAATTTAAACCTTTAAGCCGCATACTTTCTTTGAGAATAGACGTGTTTTTGCAGCGTAAGAACTAATTAAAAAAAGTTACTTAAAAGATTCAAAAAAAAAGTTATATTGTTATTTCTTTTTTCATCGCAATTACTTTTATTAACAAAACGGATAAATTTACAGATTCCGAAATCTCAATTGAGTTAGTAAAACAAATTTTTCAAGAGATGTTTCTGAAACAGCAATTAGATATTTTGAAATTGATAAGCGGTAACTTGAAAATTACTAATAAACGAATCAACGGGTAACTAAATAACATTACTAAAATTAAAGCCCTTTTGCGAATCTCTAAAAAAAGAAAATGAAAAAAATAAAAGCTGGTCAAGTAAAGTTAAATTAAAAAAAAAAAAAAAATCAATCAGTTGCTGAACACGAAAAAGTTCAAAAGGACATCGAAGAAAGTTTATCGTTTCATCAAGATTGTCACAATAAAAAGGTTAGTCACTTAGAGAAAAAAATTTATTCAAAAACTAGTTTAGGAAGCGAAGATAAAACAAAAATACGACAACTCGAAGATCGGAAAAGAAGAAATAACTGAAGATTCAAAGGAATTACTAAAAACGAGTCGGAAAATTAGAATGATTCGGAAATTAAAATAATAAATATACTTAAAAATAATCTAAATGTAAAAAGAGTGAAAATAGAAAGAGCTCATCGCAGAGGTAGGCCTAATACAAACAAGCCAAGAACTATTGTGATCAAGTTACTCGACTATAAAGATAAAATAAAAATTCTAAAAACTTATAATATAAAGTTACTCGACTATAAAGATAAAATAAAAATTCTAAAAATAAAAATTCTAAACAAACTTAAAGGTTCAGGAATATATATAAACGAAGATTTCTCTATCAAAACATCATTAATACGAAAAAAATTATTCAAAGAAAGAATGTTACACTGAACAACGGTAAGTATTGTACTGTTATATACGATAAATTAATTGTTAAGGATTTTAAGAAATCAAACATTTGAATAATCTTTTTATTTATTATCAAAATTATTCTTACCTAAAATGGCTAACGAAAATGACAGAACAGATTTAAAATGGCTAACGAAAATGACAGAACAGATTTAAAATGGCTAACGAAAATGACAGAACAGATTTAAAATGGCTAACGAAAATGACAGAACAGATTTTGAGCCTAAAACATTTGATATTAATAATTCAACACTTTTAAATCAAAGTTCGGATTAATTTTTATAATAGCGATGAAGTAATTAAACATATTAGCCCATTATATTATAACTCAAACTCAAAAAATATCACGAAAAGAATAGATAATAACTCATATTCAAATCTCCATATTAACATTAGGAGTATTCATAAAAATTTTAAATCTTTAAAACAGTTTTTATATAAAATCAAAATTAGTTCTAACTTTGCCTTAGCGAAACATGGTGTCATAATAAAAATATTGAAAGCGATTTATATTTCCAAAAACACCTAATTACAATGTCGCTCACCAAATTAGAAGTTGGGACAAGGAAGGTGGGGGTTTATGTATATTTATTATTAATTCATTATCATAGAATTTTATGCAAAATTTAAGCTCAACCACTAATGACTACGAATCATTATGCGAGGAAATCATTAGCAAAACCTAAAGAAATATTATAGTGCATGCATTATATCCATTCAGTCGGCGTGACGTCACTTTATATTAAAAGTATTATTTTAAGATTGACCATCTTGAATTGGGGGAAAACAAACTAAAAAATAAGTTGCAGTTTGTTGAGTGTTTTTAAATCCTAAAAAGTTATTGTACAGTTGGTTACACTTACAAGTTATCCTAAAGATGAAGTACTTAAAAGAGTGGTTGAATACGATAAATTGTTCTGTAGATAGCAGTGCATGTAGCAAGCAATGGTTTCCTAAAATCTTGTAATGTTTATGTTTGTTCGGCACACTTTATTACTGGTTTTTTACTTTTAATTTTCATCTTAATTTAGTAGTGGTAAATAAATATCAAAATATCAGTACTTTTTATAACCTATAATAACCAAAATAATATGTAGACAGCAATATAAGGCGTCATCAAAGAGATCTAAAAGTATGTAAAAATAAAGTAAAATCACATAAAAGACATATTTTGCTGATATCTATTCGTTGCTTCTTTTGATTAACTTTAAAAGTAATTTTGCGACATAAAGTTATTGTTAAATAATGTTTTCTTAACTTTGCGTATAAGAAAGAATTGTTTGTTTTCCCGCAATTCAATATGAGTACTTTTGATTTTTTGATGGATAGACCGCCTACAGGAAAAATTAATGTATTCAAAGACCCATTTTAAAAAAAAAAAATTCAAATTTTATTAAAAGGTTGTATTTTATCGGAGACTTTAACCTCAACACTTTTGACTATGACGATAATAAGCACATTAATAATTTCTTTTGTCTTTATTTAAATTTGTCTTTTTTCAATCTGGTTACATTCCATTAATCAATAAACTCAAGCGTGAATCTAAAAATAGTGCAACATCAATAGATCAAATTTTTACCAATAAATTTTTTTACATCAAAAATAAAAACTGGAATATTTAAAACGGACACATCGGATCACTTTCCGATTTTTATTATTTCAAATAAACGCAATACTTCTTGCAAAAATTCTCACAAAAGGAAAGTAACAACATGACTAATAAACAATTCCTCCATTAAATCTTTTCATGAAATTATATCATTTAAAAAATGAGACGAAACTTTATTAAATTTCAATGCTGCAGAAGCCTATGATATTTTCTTAGCTAAGTTGATTAAATATTATAATAAAACATTTCCCAAAGTTGCAAAATTAATA